TGAATATGTTAACTAGGACTGAGTCCAGTACAGATCCCTGGGGGACACCACTATTTACCTCTCTCCATTCTGAAAACTGACCATTTATTCCTACCCTTTGTTTCCTATCTTTTAACCAGTTACCAAACCATGAGCGAACCCTCCCTCTTATCCCATGACTGTTTATTTTGCTTAAGAGCCTTTGGTGAGGGACCTTCTCAAAGGCTTTCTGAAAATTTAAATGCACTATATCCACTGGATCTCCTTCTTCCGCATGCTTGTTGACCCCTTCAAAGAATTCTAGTAGATTGGTGATTTCCCTTTACAAAAACCATGTTGACTATTTCCCAACAAATTATGTTCATCTACGTGCCTGACAATTTTGTTCTTTATGATAGTTTCAACCAATTTGCCCGGTACTGAAGTGAGGCTTACTGGTGGGAGAGGGCACATGGAATCTTTCCCCACACATTTGTGTGGCCCACATGAGGGCCAGGCAGAATTTGAGCGCCACAGGGCAGACGCTGGTTCCTCTCTACTCCCTTAGGAGATGGAAATGGACAGAAAATGGCTCTAACCCCCAGAGTCTGACCAGTAAAGTTAGGGTCATTAGATACTGGGGGGGAGCAGCCTCTTAAAAGCACCTACTGCATTAGATACTGGGGGGAGGATGATCACAGAGAGGAGGGAGGAAGATTTCTTTCCTCACCTTCGCTCTTTCCAACAGCATCTCCCCAGCACCCAAATAATTTCCCCACACTGATAATGAAGTGTGGATTTTTACCTTAAAGCACAGAACAGCAACAGAAAATACAAAGTGCATAATTTAGCTTTTTTTTTAAATGAGAATTTTTTTTTGTAAATCAGAACTAATTCTTCTTGCATTCACTATTCATTTGTAAAATAAGCCACAAGCCCTTGTCCTCCAAAAAGGGAGAGAAAATGCTGCCTAGAAACCCCATAGCCTGCTAGCCAGTGGAATGCTTATTCTCGTTTCCCTTTTGTGAACCAGAGCAAATTTACCCTCTTTTAAACTATCTGGCTTATCAGCATGGAACTTTTATATGTTGCTGACCTTCTGGGACATCAACTTTATGGGAGTCATTTCAAACAGATGACCCAAAACCTTAACTAGTTCTTTAGGATTGTTTCTTTTTGTTGTTTCAAATGTATTCAATACACAGAATCGATATGGCACAATGCTAAAGAAACAAGATCTAATATATGCTCACGTTGCTATGTAATGATTATGCGCCTTGTTTTCTTAAGTATTTGATGGGAATTAGGATTTCTTTGCTGTTTTATGGGAGATATTGTATGTTAACAACACTTTTTAAAACAAACATGTAAAAAAGTAAATCAAAACAAATCATGTATAAATAATATTATAGTGTGGACCCAAAAAAAGCATGCAATCAAGGAAGGGATAACAGATAGCATGTATTTTAATATCCAAGCACAATGAGGGGCAACATTAGTGGCCATATATTTTGCTTTACTATGTGCAGGTATTTTGAGAACAAAGAAAAGGAGTACTTGTGGCACCTTATAGACTAACAAACCTGTCATTATGCAATGTATTTTGAGTAAATTCACTATACTTTGCCTTATTTAAATTTCCTCAACACTGTGATATGGGCACAAAACTAATGTTAATTCTCAGGGCAATAATAATTGGTCCACATTCCATAGATGTATAGGGGTGTGTATGTGTGCACATGTAGAGAGAGAGAGAGACAGAAAGCATGAGAATAATCAATGATGTACAGTATAACAGAAAGAAAAGGAGTACTTGTGGCACCTTAGAGACTAACCAATTTATTTGAGCATGAGCTTTCGTGAGCTACAGCTCACTTCATCAGATGTTCAACATCTGATGAAGTGAGCTGTAGCTCACGAAAGCTCATGCTCAAATAAATTGGTTAGTCTCTAAGGTGCCACAAGTACTCCTTTTCTTTTTGCGCGAATACAGACTAACACGGCTGTTCCTCTGAAACCTGTCAGTATAACAGAAGTGTTCTCACAAATAATATAGTTGGTGCTCTCTTAGCAGCAGCCACCATTCCGCCCATGTCAAATTTTTGGAGTATGGTGGCTTATGATTCAAGTTTTAAATTCCAAACTCACCCCTACAGGTTTTGGTACCAGGTCAGACCCAAAACTAACAAGGGCCTTTTTTCTGGATCTGATTCAAATGTAGAAAGCTTGAGAGAGAAATTCAAGAGATTTCAGAGCCATGCACCCTGAACCCTCACCATTGCTCTTCTCCAATATGAACTCCTAACCCTAATCCAAGTCCAAACATCATCATCATCTCTTCAACCCACTTGACAGAAAAATCATCTGCATTTATATTCTGTTTCATCACAAGGGAACAAAGGACTTTTCAAAGTGTACCAATACTGCTCCACTGTGGATGATACTGCCAAATTAAGAGAGTTTTTTTTCTTTATTTTCTTTCCATTCTATTTATAGATGCTTTTATTTAGTAGAGCTAGAGACAGCACTTGTCTATTATAAGCCCCTGAAATCTCATTCTGCCAAAATAAAAACATAGTTCAAGCACTTTGGAGAACTATTATGATTATTGAATGTCTAACATGTGGCTTAAATTCTCAAAGTAGTACTCTAGACCCCAAGGGAACAGGCAAGCAGCATACAATTATTAAAGCAATTACAAAGATACAGTGGTTCTTCTCTTAAAAGCCTCCTGTATTATTCATTTTACGGTACACGTTTGAGAATGGCATAATTTCACTCCTACCCAGTTTAATTTCTTTGTTATTAGTTTATCAGCATCTCTTTTTTAACCCCTTGAACCAGTTATTAGCATGTCGCTCACTAGTAGTTAACCAACAACTACTACACCTTCAAAGCAGTGTCTCCAGACATAAAAAAAATCAATTTTTCACTCATCTTCCACTTTATGCATTTCATTTGAGAAAGGAATGCAGCAGGTTACTGGTTAGCTTAATGAAATCACAAATAATAGGGATATATTACAATAGTTTACCAGATAATACAACACTTTCAGTGAATAATATTTTATGTGAATGGGTTTTTGTCTTAATGCTCCATAATACCTACCACTGAAATGACCGCAGAAAACATATGATGAATTTACACGTAATTAAAGTTCTGTATTCTCCCTGTAACTCTCTGGGTAATAATTCACACTAACTCATCTGACACTATGGTGTCTACTCATAGGAACAAGAAATCAAAATATAAAGAAAAATAGATTAGTTTTAAAGTACTTGGAGTGAGCCTGAAAGGAGTATATATAACCTGGAAAGATAATTATGTTTTATTCACTTAGGAAAGGCATCTTGGACTAGAGGCCCTTGTTAAAGGAACTCTATAATGGATTTTATGCCAAAATATTTACTGTCCTAAAATCATTATATTCTAATGAGGAAAATCTCGGAAATCAGAAATACATAGATACTTTGTGTTGCCTTTTTAGTTCTTTGTGTGTGTGTGTGTGTGGGGGGGGGGGAAGATTGTAAAAAAAACCCTAAACATTCTAAGCAAAAAACCATACAAACCAACAAATAACACATAAAAAAATAACAAATCAGCCACTATTTACAATATAGTTTGGACACAATAGAATATTACTAGGAAGCTGAAAAAGTCACTATGTCTACATTTGACATCACATACAGAATAATCTGCACATTGTTGGATACTGTTTCTATTTGTAATACATTGTTTAATCACTTGCTGGTGCCTGGACAGTTATGTAAGAAGTAACTATCACCGAAGTCCAGTGGAGATTTGCCTAGTTATTTTCCGTATCTTTTCAAAAAGATCAATGTATACATCAGCTCTTTGAAGACTAGTATAAATTAATCCATACCAATGATTTCATTTCCTTTTCTTCAGAAGCTTTTCTTTCTGTCTCCTGCCAGCTTTACTGTCATGAGGGGGATTAAAAATGTTGGGGGAGAAATTCACATTAAAAATTTTAAACCCCATTGCATTGTATGTCCTTCTCTCCTCCTTCATCTCCAGTGTTAGTAGAGACTCAATATGAAATATGTCTAGGCCAAACTCAAATGGGCCACTATACTGTTATATGCAAATCTGCATGTACTCCAGTTCACATGAAACAAATGTGTGTAAATCAGATTTGCTTACTATAATTCAGGTTCTGAAAGGGAAATTTGATTCTCAAAATCTGTCCCCCTAGTCTTAACTTCACCCTAGAAAACTCCTCAGTTTTAAAACAAATGTTCAAGTTCCATAAAAAATGATAATGAAAATGCTGACATCAAAAATGTTTTGTATCTCACAATCCTTCATTTATTCTTCGTACAGCTGAATAGCAAATTAATAACAATGCTAATATCACTGCTACTTTTCTACAGGATTATTATATATAATTGTGTTTCTACGATAGCCCTGCTTTGTATCCATTTACAAGCACATCAGCACCACTGATTACCACTTAACAATATAAGAGCCAAACTCTCTATACAACATGATAAATCACTGTACCTCATTTAACAAAAGGACTCACTGACAGCCATCTGAGAAAGCTGCCCTTAGTTGAATCCCATATATTAATCGAGACACAACAGTAAACACATTTGCTATTATGAAGTCTATTTTTCCACATCATCTATAGACTTATGAATCTGCTACTGACGCCAAAAAATAGCTTGTAATGTGAGCTCAGATAATAACGGACAAAAAAAAGCTAGCATTGATGCAGGTAGGATATCATGAAATGAAGCCCAACAGTGTGCTGTACATCACGAAAGTGAAACTGCACTGTATTCTGCACTAATTATTGCCAGTCACGAACAGGTATGATTTAATGTACCATGACTCTGTAGGTTGGCTTCAAGGTCACCATTCACAAAAGCTAAATGGTTTATACTTATAAGTATTCTGGACTTAGTTTCTGTGTCATGCAGGTTCAAGCTATACAGTGACAACCGTTAGTAAAGTAGCCTGCTGGTTTCAACCCAAGCAAACTGTTTACAATTTTCTGGCTTCCTTCTGGTACTCACCAGCACATTTTGTCCTTGTTTTGAGAGCTGGGCCTGGGGATCCGGTACCTCCTTCACCCGGTCTTGTAAGCAGCACACTGATTTCATATTCTGTATCAGGATCCAGGTGCCCGATTTTGTAGCTTGTGTAGTCTACTGGCTGTCTGTCATACCAGCTTCCACTTGATGTGCGATACTCTACCTCCCTCTCAATGATGGGCCCATCCCCATTGATGGAATTAGCATTCAACTCTATCCATAAATAGGTGGCACCAACTGAAGACAACTGAGGTGGCGCAATGGGAACAGGTGGTTCTATAACAAAAAGAATTGGAAAAAGTTATTCTACCAATATTTGTTTCTACTTCCAAAACATTCAAACAACAATCTTTACTAAACCATATTTGGAAGTCTGCCTTAAAAAGCCAGATTGACCCACAGCCACTGCAGTCATTAAATTGGCTTTTGGTGTCCACATTACCCTCCTTCTGCCAGTGATGCACATCCTCACCAGGAATGCCTTGCACCGACTGAAATGGGGCATTCTGGAGTACTGACAGCTAGAGCGTGGAGCACTGACAGCCACACAGGGCTTACGGCTGGACCTCCCCTGCCCCAGGGCCCACAGCCTGAGCTGGTGCAGGGTTCAATTGCAGAGCAGGGAGCTTACCAGCTGTGAAATTGACATTCTTGTCAGTTTCATGGCTGCTGCTATTTCACATTTTGTCTCCAGCTGACACCAGGCTCACAGCTGGAGCACCCTCATTCTGGGTCTGACAGTCTGAGCCAGAGACAAAATGTGAAATAGCAACAGCTGTGACACTGACAAGCATGTCAATTTCTCTGCTCATAGGCTCCCAGTTAGGAAATTGAGCCGCATGCGGGGCTCACAGCTTGGGCTGTTAGTGCCGGGGCACGGGGAGATTGTGGGGCTGACAGCCAACAAGCGATGTAAGTAGCATCATCCTAACTACATTCATCTAAGCGCTACGCCTCTCATGGACGTGGAGTTATTGCGTCAATGTAGTGGGTGACTTATGTCAGTGGAATCAAGACAGTGACAGATTTAGCCTGATATAAGCTGTTTTAGTCACCCTAACTCTGTAATGTAGATGAGGCCCCGATAACAAACATGGACTTCTCTTACAAAAAGTAAGATAAGTATACTTAATTTATTACTGAAGAACACTTGATGTACACTAAGTATACTAAAAGTCTATTTTCTCCTATGGACTGAGAAGCAAGAGATCTATAAACCTTTATTGGCGAATAGATGCAATCAATCTTTAACCCCTTTTTATATGTTACTGCCAGGCCTAGATCTGTGCCAGTAACAATGAGTGCACTTGGATAGTAAATGCCATGCTAAAGAATGGCATCACATCATGGGAAGATACAAGATACATTACGTATTTTCACTTTAATGAGATATTCCCACTGACTCCGTAAGGAAAAACATGGTAAAACTAGACAACAGTCCAAAAGTTCTCCAAAGATGCTTACTAATTATTACTACTTACTACAGACACACAAATCCAGTTTAAAATATAGTGGTAAACTACTACATGTAGAGTACAGCAACAGCCTATAAACCTTTAATTTTTATCAAGAAAAGCTATATTATATGTCAGCATCAATATAGGACAAACTCTAGCTTCAGCTTCTGGGGATTAGAAATTTAGTGTAGTTTTATTGACATTATTGTTTCTGAAATATATAAACTATGGCTTCCTGCAGAAACTGTATATCTTTAAATAGTTTTGACTTAATTCAAAATGATTAAGCATCAATTTAAATCATTAGGCTCCTTCTTGAACCAGGATGTGAAATAGAACTTTTATAGAGCATTCTAAGCCATTTATGCAGCCATGCTGAAAGAACAGTTAATTACTTTCAAGTTTCAAATGCTAGTAATGGCTGTTCAACTGCCATCAAAATGCAAACTCAGGAGTCAGGTCATAAAGGTCAGTAGTTACACCAATTCATTTAAAGTCTTACAAGTATTTGAAATAGACATTATTTTATTGCTTTTTCATCCCCTGGGGTATTTTTTCATTCCCCTATGACCAAAGTACAAAATAGGTTAAATTCAGTTGTGTGGTTCCAGCAAAAGCCTGCACGTACCATGATTTTACTCTGAAGGTAATCTTCCAGCTAAAGATTGAACACGTATAAAGCGAATCTATCATCATACATACTGCACTTATATTTAACTGACAATTGGCTAAAAAATAAGGGTCATGAAGTTAAGTATATAGTGTAATAGAAAATAATTGAAGTAGTCAAGGATACTGTAATGAAAGATAAATGGCTATATTATTACTGCATATTGTAAAATATTAAACTTTATATAATGAACTGATAATGAATGACCATAGTTTTACCCAAGTTATTCCTTCATATAGTTTAGCTTTTCCTCCTTTTCACTAAAAGGGGTATTTCTAGGTATGACAATGAAGAGTTTGGATCAATTATTCAATTAAATACCATACTCTGCATATGTTACAGTTGGCAGCAGCATGCTTTTTTTCCCTGGGAGGCAATTTTAGTGGTGGCCATCAAATAGGGTCTCACTAAATATCCTAGTTATTTTCTGATCTATATTTTCCCAGCCATCTATGTAGAGGTGCACTATATCCTAATTTGAAAACAGTTGGCTTAACCAAAATGATACATTTTTAATGGCTGTAGTAATTATGTATATTTACGAAGGGATACACTAATTTATTTTGTGGGGTGTGGGGAGTTTGCAGGTAGCAATATCAGGGCAATAAAACTGTTTAAGTTAGAAAAGGTTATTTCTCACTTAACTCTTATGGATGTAAAGTAAACCAAGCTTTTAAAATTAAAATATCAATACAGCTCGATAAAGAAAGTTTGTTTCTTCATGGAGCAAATTTAATGGTTTAACAACTCTGGACATGAGAACAGTTGGGGCATTCCAAACCAGTGGTGTGAGGGTGATGGGGCATGTCCAAATAAGAAGAGGAAATACCAAACACTCTCCTGTTACAGCACCAGAAGTTAATGTCCATTGATGGCAGATCAGTGGAAAGCTTTAGATAGATGCTATAATGGTGGCCAACACCAAAGGACCAATTAAAGTAAAAATGAGAACAAAAACAGTTCACCCAAAATGAAAAGTAGCCTTTTGCTTATCCTAAAGGAGTTACATGCAAAAAAGTAAAATACTAAATACATGCACAGATATGCACTTTTTACATATACATAGAGAGAGGCAGCAATCCCTATATTTAGGCTGCCTTACACTTTTATTATAAAATTCTTCTGAACATTTTTGGAAGAGCTCTAGCACTTCCCTGGTTTTCCATAAGGACTTGAAATTTGGCAGGCAGAATAGCCTTGCAATCAGAGAGTTGCCTTTTCTGTCCTCATGAAAATTTGTTCAGATTTAAATGAGTTACACACTCTTAAAAACAGACATTTCCTGTCTGTTGATTACTTAGTACGGCTTGTTCCAGGACTGCAAGATATCTGACTTCAAAGCAGTCACGCTTTTGTGTTAAGAGAAGCTGTTACTACCCAGTATGGAATCTTGCACATTCTGGGGCTTAAACAGGCTTTTTTAAAAAATTAAATAGCAACTGGTTGAAGAAGCTCAAAGATTTGAATTTCAGAGTTAGTTCCATCAAGATGATTCAGGAGGTAGAGAGCAGGTGAGGTGGTCAAAGCTACATTACAGATATATTCTCACTGAGCCCTGCAATTTTTCACCTTGATCACAGAATCGTAGAAACATAGGGCTGGAAGAGACCACAAGAGGTAATCTAGTCCAGCCCCCTGCACTGAGGCACGATTAAGTATCCCTAAGACCATCCCTGAGAGCTGTTTGTCTAATCTGTTCTTAAAAACCTCCAATGACAGGAATTCTACAACCTCCCTGGGTAACCTATTCCAGTGCTTAACTATTCTTATAGTTAAGGAAAAGCTTTCTAATTTCTAACCTAAATCTCCCTTGCTGCAAACTAAGATGTTTACTTCTTGTCCTACCCTCAGACATAGATAACAATTGATCATCTTCATTATAGCAATCTTTTACATATTTGAAGACTTATGTCCCCCTGAGCTTCTCTTCTCAAGACGAAACTTGCCCATTCTTTCAACCTTTCCTCACAGGTCATGTTTTCCAAATCTCTTATTTTTCTTGCTCTCCTCTGGACTCTCTCCAATTTCTCCACATCTTTTAAAGTGTGTGGTCCATAACTGGACACAATACTTCAGCTGAGATCTCACCAAATGTCAAGTCCCTCTCTGAAGCTTGGAGGTGCTACAGCTTTTCAAAGAAAAAGGTCACCACAATTTTGTAACATGGGCAAAACAATGTATTTTTCCTGGCCTCATTCTCAAAAATTATTCAACTGTGGTGTTTTAAATTTTCCAGAAAAATACAGCTCAAAAGTGTCATGGCTGGTCCGTGGGTGGCCATACCATAATAGTCATAGCCAGAATGTGCAGCCATGAGACAGGAGTCAAGAGCTGGCTCTGTCACAATACCGGGAGGACAGAAGCAGATGACAAACTGGAGATCAGACCCATGAAGTGAGAATGAGAATGAGGTCAGGTCAGGTCTACCACAGGTGCTGGAACTAGAGGTGCTAGGGGTGCTGCAGCACCCCTAGTTTGAAGTGGTTTCCATTATATACAGGGTTTACAGTTTGGTTCAATGGCTCTCAGCACTCCCACTATACAAATTGCTCCAGCATCCCTGGTCTACCAAGTGGTCAGAGGTAGGAGACAAACCGGAGGTTGGGATGCCAGAAGTGAAGCCATGTCGGGATGCCAGGAAATCAAGCCAGGGAAGCAGGAATGGTTAGACTGTCACAGGAATGGGTAGCAGGAGCAGGAAGCAAAAGGCACACAGTCCAGAGCCCAGTGGAACCCAGTTGTTCGATCAGCTTCCTGTTCCTGTCGGTGGTTTAAATAGGGCCAGTGGCCAGTCAGCCGCTATGGGATGCCAACAATAGGACCTTGGGGCAGAGTTATCATCAAGCTATAGGCTGCCAGTTGGAAGACTGGAGCATAGGTCCAGGTTCGTGACCCAGGGGTCATGACATCACCCTCTCCTCTAGGGGCACCCTCTGGGTGACATGGATCCAGGTTTCTCAGGGTAGCTCCTTTGGAAGGCCCAAACCAGGGCAGAAGTGTGAACGTTCTCACCAGGCTCCCAAGCATTCCTCTGGGCTGTAACCTTCCTAATCAATTAGATACCATAATTTTCCTTGCTTGATCTTACAGTCAAGGACTTTGTGAACAATGTATTCCTCCTGACCTGTACTTGTAACAGTGGGGGTGGG